GGATTACGTTGAGTGTAGGGTGAGGGTTGATTGGGAATGCGAAGCCTCGTATGCTGGGCATACGAGGAGTACGCGGGGCGTACGAGGGGAGTTAAGAAACCCTAATTTTTGGTATTGGACCATATATAAACACATTTAGTCCTTAGGGCTGGCCTATTTACCAGCCTCCAAGTTCCCAAAACCCTAGAAATCGTTTCTAAGCCTCCATGGTTGTAATTATGAGCTAATGATGTGGATTTTGGTGTTTTTGGGTCATTTCCAAGAAGATGGAGTTTGATGCAAGGTTATGAATCAGGGATGAGCTTATGGATCTGAATTATGTGCTTCATTTCTAGCTTGTTTAAGGTACAAAGCTTAAATCTTCTTCATTGTTGGCTTAGATGTAGTTTGTATGATTTTTTGGTTCATTTTGGTCCCGAGAATGAGATCTAGTGGTTTGGTACCACTCTACGAGCTATGAGTTGCTACTCTTGGTGTTTATGAGGTTCTAGATGCTTAAAGTTGTCTCCTGTAGGGTTTGGAATCCCCCATGCATGTGATGGTGTCCATTTGGTGGAAGTATAATGCTTTATTTTGATGTTGGGTTCTTTTGGGGAAAGCAAAGTCATCAATTCAATGACTTTATGGTTCTAGACGTTCTGTAAGAAGTAGATCTGTGGTGGAAGTATATGTCATTCTGCATGCCGACAGTCTTCGACAAATCTCAAGAGGATCGTATCTTGATTGAGTAGGTTCAGCATGGTCAGTTGTTGATCCACGTCTTTGTCGGGATCAACTCAGGAGTATTGCTTGGAGGAACTTTGGTCAGGGTTAGCGAGTTAGTTCTTTAGTGAAGTTAGGGTTCAGTGGTTTTATCATCTGTTCAGGCATGATCGGCGGTTGCCCATGGAAGAACTTTTGTGTTCCAACACTACCGTCGCTTGGAGAGAAGTGGTAGCAGTGTAACGCCCCATTCCTGGTATGTGCTTTAATAAAATAATTTTCATTTCTTAAGGGGTACTCGACGAGTCTGTAGCCCGACTCGTCGAGTAGAGACGGGATGATCACACAATTTAAGTTGGCTACTCGGCGAGTCTGCCTGTCTGGATGAAGCCCTAATTTCAAGGGTGTGTACCATATATAAACGTCATTATAGCCTCCCACCCCAGCCTCCATTTCCCCTGTAAACCCTAGCCCCCATTGTTGTTGTGCTAGTTTGGAGGTTTTGGAAGAGAAAGAAAAAAAGGAAGATCCAAAGGAGAAGAAGAAGATCCAGAGTCTCTTGATCATCAGCCTCACATTCTGGTACTAAAGCTTGTACCTTGCTTGCTATTTCCATTTGATAGTCTTGTATGCTTAGATGTGCTTCTTTTTGGGACTTTTTGGATTCAAACTCGAGATTGGGGCTCCTATAAGGAAATGGATCATAGATCTGAGTATATTTGAGCTGTAGGAGCTCAAAGTAGCTGCCTTTATGCACCCAAGGTCGAGTTCCAAACCCTAAGACCCCATTCTTAGCTTATTTTGATGTTCTAGCCTCATTTCTTCATGCATGCACGTAAAGTTGGAAACTTTACGTGTAAAACCAACCCCAAGAACCTAGATCTATGATTTGGAAGCACTGAAACCGATTAGAATCGACTGTATAGTAATAGCATGCTTGGGACTCGGCGAGTTGTTCTTCAGCTCGGCGAGTTGTTCTTCAGACTCGACGAGTTGTTCTTACGACTCGGCGAGTCGCAGACTGGACGTGTTCATATGATGAAGGAGAACTCGACGAGTTGTTCATACAACTCGGCAAGTCGGATGATGATAGACTCGATGTACATATCGAAGAGGAACTCGTCGAGTCTTCGCCAAACTCGACGAGTAGAAGCAAGTAGAGGACTAGAACGAATGAAAGGGA